CACCAGCCGGCCAGACACGGAATAGGACATGCAGAATGACAGAAAGGTAAAAAGCCCCGATGCAAAACATGGATGAAGAGAAACACGTTAAACTCAGCTATAAGAGCGAGTGGGACAAGCCTAAGGTAAGGCCGAGCACTCATAACTAATAACAAGTCTCTGTCTCATGATTTGGGAGCTGGTTGGTGGCCCAAGAGAAAGCCTGTTACACAAGGCTGCTATAGCCACCCCGCCTCCCCCCAACTGTGGAAAGATGCCTTTCTGTCCCTCGGTCAGCAGAGGCAAGCGAGACAGCTCGGGCCTGTGGGGGTGGCGGGGGCTCCCCAAGGCCTGTTAGTCACGCCTCTCATTCTTTTTGTTTGTTTTTGTTATTTTTGAGACAGGGTTTCTCTGTGTAGCTTTGGTGCCTGTCCTGGATCTCGCTCTGTAGACCGGGCTGGCCTCGAACTCACAGAGATCCACCTGCCTCTGCCTCCCGAGTGCTGGGATTAAAAGCGTGCACTGCCACCGCCGCCACCACCTCCAGGTCACACCTCAGTTTCTTGTCAGCAGCTCAAAGAGCACACAGTGAACCACACTGTCAGTTCATTGCCAAGCTGGGCTATATCAAACTTTGCCCAAAAAAAGGTAATTTGGGCTCAAGAGATGACTCGGAGGAAAGGAGCAGAGGCTGAGAAGGGAGACTCCATCCACTGGAGCATGTGGCTCTGGCAGGCCTTGCCCTTCTCCCCCATTCCCTCTGCCTTGGTAAAAACTGTTAGATTCCATTCCTAAAGCTAGTCACCAAGGCCCGTTTCCTTATTTGGCCACTTCCTCCTCCTGAGGCCGACTACCAAGGTCCAGCTGTCAAAGTATTGAAGTCCAACAGCAAAAGCCCCTAACTTAATTTGGCTCCCCTAATTAACATACCCAATTAAAATGAAGCACTCATCCTAACATGGGGTTTCCCTTGTACCTTCATAAACCGCCATTTGCCTATGGGCCATGTCTGTCTCCTCTCTATCCAGAGGCCGTCCTCTGTCCTCCGGGACAAATACCCTGCCCCTTTCCTCGTTCCTTTCCCTTCTCCCTCGTCCTCTATCTCCTGTCTTTGTCCCTTATTTCTGCCCTCTGTCCCTCTGGGAAAATAAATCTCCTTTATGGTGTGAACTTGGCTTTGGGGGTCCCGAGCCAATACTCTTTTGGGCTACTCTTCCAGAGGACCCAGGTTCAATTCCCAGCACCCACATGACAGCTCATAACTGTCTGTAAATCCAGTTCCAGGGGATCCAATGCCCTCGTCTGGCCTCCATGACACCTGCACACACTCGATGCACAGATATACACTCAGGTACAAAATGAATGAAATGAATTTTAAAAACATGTAAACAAACAAGAAGACATTTTTTTTTTTTTTTTTTTTTAAAGAGAAATAGGAAAAAAAACCCAGAAGTCTTGCTGAGGGAAGTCTGTGTCTTGACTTCACATCCAGCTCTGCCCTGGGTGGTTTGCTTGGTCCGAATCGGAATGAGTGAAAAGGACAAGAGACAAGACGCAGAACAGAGACCTCTGGGCTCTCGACAGCCCTGGCTGCTTCCGGTAGGAAAGGAACCATCACAGCGGTTGGTTCCAGCCAGGGCCAGGCTTTCACTCCGCATCCCTGAGAGCAGCATCTTGGGGGCCTGAGTCAGCAGAGCAAACTCCACAAGCCATGGCTGCTGTGCTGGGGACTCAACACCTTGAGCTGTATCCCCCTGGGATCAGGGTGCAGGTGGGTGCTATTCCAAGGCCACCAGACCTGAGGAAGGCTTGTCTTGTTGAAGAAGGGCCTAAGGCCTGGGACTTGTGGCAGTCTAACTCCTCTACCCTTTGGTAAGCAAGAGGAGCCAACACAGACACACACACACACACACACACACACACACACACACACACACACACACACA